GCAAGCTAAAAAAAAAAAACATTAAGTATTTATTTATTTATTGTTAAGCACAAAACTAAACAATGGGCTATCTGTGTTGTGCCCACCCCAAAAAATTAAACTTGGGTTTTTAGCGTCATAAGCCTTTAAACTTACAGTTTAGTCGCTGGGGGACAAGTTTAAGTGACAATAACAAAAGTGTTGAACTGAGCTACTCGCTTTCCCATGAAACTAGTAAGATCTATCTCCCAGTGTTGAGAATGACGATCACGTTAGCCACAGTAATTATACACAAACGTTTTTTACTCGTGTAAGAGAGTTCACGACCTTCACTATTAGACTTTCAGTTTCTTAAAAGAAAAATAAAAGGACAATTGAAATTTTTGAGGCTAGAATAATTCCCTTCCCTTTCTGTTCTTTTAAAAAAATTAGAAAATAATGGTATTGAAGCTTTTATTTTTATAAATAACAAATAGTCTTGTAAAGTTTGTGGAAACTTTTATAATATTTTAGTAATATTATTACCCATATCTTTATGTATTTGTCAAAGTTATACTCCAGACGAAACCAGACTAAGTACTCGCTTTACTTTTCCACTTAAACATGTATGTATGTATGTATACTTTGATATTCAGAACCGAGTATTTGTGTTTCTTTAAGAGACTGTTTTTTTTTTCTTTTTAGTTTTCAAAACTAGAGTTCGGAAATTACGAAACGAAGAACTGAGGTTTAGAAAAACTAGGGTTTTTAAAATGAAGGAAGGGGCAGTAACCATAGACGACCTAAAGAAGCCAGTATTCGAACACCCTAATATGTCTAAATGTTGTGGTGATCTGATTGGAAAGCTAGACACTAGAGGTCGCGTTCTTGTGATGGGAGTTAAGAAGAAATCTAGTTTATTCCCAACTCTGATTATTCCGTGGGAAAATTCAAACAAAGTTATCCGCAAAGCTCGAAAGACGATGAAGAAATTTGACTGCTCAAATCCAGCAACTGTGCTAACTACTAGCAAGATTACCAATTTCATAAAACCTAAGCCTAAAAGGCGACCAGGGCAGCGAGGAAGAGGATGGAAGTCGACACCAGGTGCTTCTGGTAAGTGATGAGACGTTATTTATATTTTCCAAATGTTGAAGTATTTCGCACATGGTATGTAATAGAAATAACAAAGTTGCGAAACGAAATATTATTTGTCACTTAAGCGCAGCTACGAGGACGTGGACAAGTGGGTAAAGATTCGTTTAACCCTTTGGCCACAACAAGATCTGTGAGACGCGTTATAAGTGTAATAGTCATCCCCACACGCACGTGTATTCGGTCAGCCAAGACTAGCCGAAAACTAGATGAAGGGTGCTTTTGACCAGCTGCCTTCCCTCTGGTCATATCAGTTCAGAATTAGGGACGGATATACGTAGATAGCTATTTGTGTAGCTTCGCGCAAAATTTTTTAAACAACTAATTAAGAAATTAATTCAATGTTTTATGTGGTATTTAACTTTTTTTAAATCATGATTGATTTACTTAAGTGATAACGCTCAATATACTATCCTGCCTAAAAGAACTTTAAAGGCCGCGGCTATTAAGGATTCCCTCATGTTTTTGTTGTTTAGTAAAAGGTGATTTCCAATGATCTACTAATAACGAACTGAGACAAATAAACCAAAATATTACGTTACTGACGTTGATTTTGTTTGTACGTGAAGAAACTTCAATACAGGTTCATTTTACTTAGAGTTCAATTTTAATGTATATAAATGTAGAGTGAAGTCATACAACTAAATTTATATTCATTGACACAGTGTCGTGTGCTGGATGTAATCAACCCCAGACTCTGAAAAACCTACTGGACAAGTTTTGTACAGCAGACTATGGTAAGTAAATAAAAGTCGGCAATTCAGAGCCGCCAGGGAGAGGTATTTTCTCCCGGGCCTTAAATTCAAAGGGGTCCCCAAAAATACAAATTATTGTTGTTTAATAAAAACTGAAAAAAAGAGAAGTGTTTTATGTTTTTGGGAAACGCTCTTTAGAATTTGATTAGCATTATTCAATTAATTGTCAAAACAATTTTGTACAATATAATGTGGCCAGTTTAAAGGGGGGAGACTCTATATTTTGTTTGCTCTGGATCCCCTGTAAGTACTGGACGGGCAAGGTCGGCATTAGGTTTTTTTTCTTTTTTTCTCGTTATTCTTATCGGTGGACTTATTTTTTCTGATCCAAACAGTAATCGCTTTTATCGATATTCCAGTCTGTCTAGGCCGTGCGCGAATGTTGTTTTCAGTTATAACCTGACTTGTGACCAGAACCTAATGGCGGAGAATCAAAAGTAGCCTAGTTTAAGGGTTTGGACTGTGATTATAAATGTTATGGGGTCTTAACGTACAGTGATTATAACCTAGTATTAGACCTAGGGGCATATAAAGAATCCTAATATAAATTCATTCTCTTGGTTAAGTAAGTATAATTGTTGGACACAAAGCTTTAGACATTGTAACATATCAAGATCGTTATCTCAGTTTAACATATTATTTGAAGTCTTGAAGCTTGTTCGCCGTAGGGTTCGTAATGAAGAAAGGTCAAGGTACTCATTTTGAAGTTTTTTTTTTATAGAAAATACTCGCGTTATAACTTGGAGATCCAAGATTTTTTTTTTCCCGAACTGGGAATCCGAGGGTTCATTGTTTGCGTCTCATTGCCACAGAAACGCGCTCCGCACTTTGGAGCCGAGGGCAGGCTATAAGATTGACCGTTAAATCCCACTATTTGTTCAGTTAAAAGCCAAGTGTTGACGGTGGATGCTGATGACTAACTACCTTCCTTGTCTAACAGTTCAAAATTGGGGGCTCCTATGCGCATCTAGCTAGCCCCTGTGTGGTGGCTTTGCGAGAAAAGTTTAAAAATAATCTGAAACCTAACTAGCTATTACCACCAGGAGAAGAACATAATATCGTTAACAGACAGGGGTACCTAATTGAAATCATAAATTTTACTCATAGTTTTTTTATGACTTTGTATACACCTAATAATATTAAATTAGCTATATCAATTACGTGGTTAATTTTTTAGTTCTGATCTATATAGATAGGTTGATTTGATCAGTAGTTAATGGTAATTGGATCATCAATACTATCGCTGTTAGCACCAAGTGTAATTACTTAAAGCTAATAAATAAATAAACGACTTTAAGAAATATACCTGTAGTATAGGCGTCGGAAGCAAAATATGAATTTATGTTAGAATAAAAAATGTCAAGAGCGAAACTGGAGGGAGGTCGAATGCATAAATTATTTCTACAATTAGAGCATTAATTTTAAGCCTATTTTAATGAAGTAGGGGCCAGGAATTTCTTGAAATCATAGAATAAAACATAAGCAAAATTTATGTGATAATAAGCAGTCCAATGATTAACTTTCATTGCCATCTATTTTTTTACATTAATCTTTTGATATTATATTTTGGGCTTTCTTATTTCCAGATATCGTATTAATTCTTAAAACTTTGCTTGTCGAGTCATTACTTTGGAACAGAAACTGAATTCATTGGAGAGGGAGAGGGAGGGTCATAAATTTATTGAAACTTACGGGGCAGGGTTCTGTGTAATCTAGATAGTAGACACATGAGATGATTAGTTTCTTTGGCAGTTTGAATAGTTTACACCTAAACTTCTTCATCTTATCTTTTTAATAGCGGATCTTCATAAAAACAGTTACCAGGTTACACACATATATTGTTTATAGTGCAACGAAACATTTAACTGCTAATAAATTTGAAGAATTAAAGGCGCAATGATCAACAGTAATAAATACGAAAGTTTTAAGGTTTTGAGAAGGATACATGGTTTGATTTAATTTTAAAACAGAGGGCTGGGCTTGAGATAACACAAAAGTTAATAAACTTTTAGAATGCTGAAAGGGTATACATTTCGTTTTCGGAATATTCATTTTGTTGTTGAAATATTGAATTCGTTTGCATTGTAGAGTTTTGAGAACTGAAACAACGTCCAAAACTATGCCAAATAAAAACCAGCGATCGCCTGGAAGTAATGATTAATTATAAGATACTCGCGTCATCGTGTATAATCAGAAAGTATTCTATTTCACATAATTGTTGAACATATTAAAATCTTAATGTACCCTCACTACCGAAGAGGGTATTCCTAATATTATTTAGCAATTTGTGGAAGCGTCTGATATTATAGAAGATTACAATCGCAGTTAAAGAATAAAGAACAAAAAAAACAGTATCGACCTTGTGTCACACAATAAATAACGCATTTGATGCCTTTTGTATTTAATGGATTTGCATATGATTAAAGTATCCACCCATTTCACAAACGGTCCGGTCTGAAAGAGTTCCGCTTGGCTCTAATCTTTTTTTAAGACTTGTCCAACTGGTTTCACTGCTATTACATTATTCAAGAACTTTTTGCTTTTTGTTAATACAACAAGTCGGTCTACTTTGAGATGCAACTTGTAAATGTTCTAGGATAATTTTGCCATCCGTATGTATGTGTGTGTGTGTGTGTGTTTTTATCAAACTACTTTCGTGGATAAACTTCGAATAACTTAGAAGATAGATACATACCCATTATTCACTGTAATAATTAAATAATTATTGCATTTTCATCCCATTTGTCATGGCATTATAATATTCTGAATTTACTGTTCTAAGGTTTATTTCACCTCTGAGCAGTAGTTGTAAGTTATCTATAGAGGGATAAGCTGTTGAGAGAGTGTAAAAACTGATCACTTTGTTATTAATTTATAACATTTATCACTTTGATGTTAATTCGATGTTTATAATCATGGTGTTAAAACATTTATTGAGTGAGTGTAATTTTAGAAGATTATATTGTTATCATAGTGTTTGGATTATTTATCCTAGAACTTGTTATAGTCGAGTTCAATAGAAGTATTAAGTAATTGCCTCGATTTTGTTGATCTATAGAAATATATCATGGACATTAATTGGAGACAAAATTAATTCTAATCACTACTGAGTCACCGAATGTTGAATTACGTATCCCCAATTAATAATAAAAACCAGGCCCACTAAGCATTTTTTACCCAAAGAACTGAAGCAAGGTGAATGGGGTTTGGAAGCAAGCAGACCAAGGCTGGACACCTTTTGTGGACAACCCTAGAAAAAGGTTGTCAAGTCCTGCAATAAGCTCATTTATGCTCCTGAAAGAAAGCATGCAGGGGTCTTTGTCAATGCTGCATGTTTACCTTTCCCTGCCACCAAGATTAATGTTTAAAAAGGCCACGATGGTTGTGATAGACTTTACATTGTCCCTCTCTACACGTGTGATTCTTACAATTCAAGTTACAATAAGGACTGGAAAATTTTTAGTGCCTTAAGCGTGATTTTGTTTTTTCTCTCTTTGTGTTTGAGTAAAGTTACACTGATGGATGATATTTCACATTTTAGCACAAATTTAACAAGTGTGCATCTTTATGCATATACTATATGATTGATATAACTATTTGTTTCAATATTTTTGTATGTGGCTACTTTAACGTACTTCAATAGTTGTTTGTTTGTTTTTTAATGCAATAAATAAGTCTTCTGACATTTTATTGACATGTGATGAAATTTTTCAACTGGCCTCGCAATGCTGTTTGTACTATAAATAGTTTTGTGCATTGACTAATAGTCATATTGAAACTAGAGAGTTTCATATATTAAATGCTACAACCAAACTCTCTGATCCGGGTAATGTGATTTTGGGCATCAAGGTGGCACTTCTATATAGATTAAAAGCCAAGATTTGCATAAAACTGATTTTCGATAGTGACCATGTTGGGATTCAATATGACAGCTGTTTGGGAAAAATCCTCTAAGTCTTGCTTTTACTCAATATTCATATGAAAATCTATATGTCAAATTTCATATATTTAGATGACATTTCTATGTGCATATGAAGCATATAGTTGAGTAATGCTCGTTTTCAATATCTGCAATGTTGGAGTGATAGATAGATAGTTTCTGTTTGCGACGAAATCTGCGAACATCTTGCTTTTACATGAAGATCTATATATGTATGCCAATTTTTTTTTGTATAAATCGAACACCTTCAAGCATATCTGCTTTACTCAATTCGCAAATTGCAATAGTTTGCATCGGAACATCTTTAAGCATTTTAACTTCGATTATTTATTCAGCTTCATCACACTAGATTATTTCTCTTTGTCTTACACTGCCATCTAGTGGTCATAAAATAAATTTGAATCATCTATATTTCCTGACGTCTGTTTGTTTGGTTTTTAATGAACTGAGGTTTTTCAATGCTAGTACGTGACATTTTTTTTCAAACCTCTAAGTTATAGTGAGGAAAGTAAAGGTTTCTTTGGTATTCGGTTAAACATATTTATAGAATAATGTTTATTGTTTCTTTTGTTTTTGAGTACAACTACTTTAGCTATTTGTTATTACAATGATAATGTTATCAAAACTTTACTGTTAAGATGACTGTTAGTCTGTCTGTTTATACAACCGTTTTGGTTTTTCGTACACATTTTATATGTGAGGGCTAGATGTTTGAAATTATTTAATACATATTCCAAGAAGGATAAAGTTAAGAATAACGTATGACTTGTATTTGGATCAAATGTCAATGGCCGTACAATATGGTCTTACAATTTGGCAGTTAATTAATATTATTTTGTGAAAGTTTCTTTCATTCACTTTAAAGAATATTTTAATGTACATATACCATTCTTATCTTACTACCTTGAGTGGGTATTTCCGAAATTTTGATCACGTTATTATTACCACCAGAGCTAAATGAAACGGTTATTTTCTCTGACGTTTCTCGAAAATTTTCTTCAAATTCTTGCTAGAAATAGATTATGATGGGGGTTTGTTTCCACTTTGCTATGCATCAGTTTTTCTTTTCAAATATTTGTGTTAGTAATAGTTCTCTTATTCAATTTATATTTGTATACTTCTTGAGAAGCGTTTTATGTTAAACTTCTTTGTTTATAAGTATTTATGACAAATTAACATACACGGCTAATTCCCGATATTTTTAGTGATCAAGACAAGAATTAAAAAAATAAAAAACAACAAAATGAAGTGTAAGAGATCCCGGATTCTGAAACTGGAGGAGGGCGCAGCGTCCAGAGAAGAACTGATAGCTCCGACCTTCACACATCCTAACATGACAGAATGTTGTGGTAACATACTGGAAAGTGTGCAAGACAGAAAGAAGCGTGTGATCATCATGGGAGACAAGAACGAGGCTGATTTAATAACGAACCTAGTGTTGCCCTGGAGAAATAATACGAAGTTGATTAAACGAGTGTTAAGAGTAGCCAAGAAGAAAGGTTGTTATAGCCGCTAAAATTATGGTGTGTGTGTGTGTGTGTGTGTGTGGTCTTAAAAACTTTGTCTGATTCGAGAAATGTCATAAAATTGGTAAGCAATGTTGCAGAATTGAAAATAATGATCACTGTAAATCTAGAACTAAACTGTGAAATAAAGCCAAACATCTAATAAACTGATCTAAAATTTAAAGTTATAACTGATTTAACCGCCCCAATTTTTAAGATGATCAAGATAATTTAAATTGGTTTAGATCTTTAAAATATTATAATTATAAACCGAATTTTGCTATAACAGTGAAAATATAGTGATTCTACATTGTTTGAATGAATGATTTGTAAATATTTGAAGGATAAGAGGGTTTAATGTTGAACAGCGTTTAGTGAGAGTTAACTTAATGTTGTGGAGTGGAGAAGGTTCAAAAGAATGAACTGTTCTTTTGTTCTGGTTATAAGATTTAAATCTTGATTGTTCTTTATTATTAGGTATAAGCTTCAGTTCTAATGTGGCATTGTAGCTTAACTGTTGTACTGTTTCCTTTTGTTTAGTCGCTACAAACACTTGTGGACGCTGATGTAGCGTATCATAATGTTTTATAAGAATCCGTTGTCATATTGTATTCATGAAAAGTTGGGAAAAGAAATACCTAACATTTATAACTTTAAGCTACGTATAACTTGATACGAGAAGAACGTGACGCTTTTTGTATTTTCACGAAGTTTAACACACAGTTGTAGTTACCTTAGCAACGAGATCAATGTTCCTTGAAAATTCAGTAGTAACTAAGGTAGATTGTTTAAGCCATTTTCTTCTCTGGTGTCATTAAAGAAACCTAAAAAATCATTTTCTCATCCATTCAGATGTAGAACATTGTCGGTGTCTTGTGACACTGAAAGATATCGAGGTTATTTGGGCATTTTTTAAAAATGGCTACGCTTCATGTATTTAAATCTTCAGTCTTCCGAATTCTTAATAAACTGGTAAAATGGTGTTGTAGTTCCGAATGTATAATAACTTACATTCAGGTTTTATCTTTAAACTGTTTTCCAGCTAGAATGCAAGATGTGGGATTTTTTTTAGCTTAAACTGAAATACCGAAGATAAAATTTTGTGTGCATGATACAAGATAAACCGAGTATCGAACTTTCGTCTAACGTCATTGTGGGTCTATAAGCTTTCTTTCAAAAAGAAGTTTAACGTCCCGATGTTGGTATTTAGCTTGATATTATTCTAGGTAAATGTTATCGTGTGGAATGGTTTTGTCCTTCCAAGAACACGTTTCTTAGCCCCCCAGTGGCATGGCGGCATGTCTGCGGACTTGCAACGCTAGAAACCGGGTTTCGATACCCGTGATGGGCAGAGCACAGATAGCCCATTGTGTAGCTTTGTGCTGAATTCCAAACAAACACACGCTTCTTAAAAATGATGCATTCAAATTAGAACCTTATTGTCGAAGTTAGTCGCAACGATAGAATGCAAGTAGTCTTATTGACAGGAAGATGATTTATCCTTAACAATACGTTTTTCTAAATAGTCTATGTTAAAATGTACGCGTTTGTAGATTAAGTATTTTTAACGTGGAGCTGTCATGTGTATAGACATAATGATTGAGGAATTTATATAACTTATTTCTGTCTTTAAATTGCTATAAGCAACTTCACTGCAAAGTTCATGTCACTTGAGATTGTCTACGTAGTAGTAGTAGTAGTAGCAGCAGTAGTATGTTTATGTAAAAACATATTTACAATAGTACTAAAATATTAGTTATTCTCAGCAGTAAATTCATTACTACTTAGTTTTGATAAATCCTAGATTAGTTATTAATTGTTTATATAGTTTCATTTTTAAACAATTATTTCATAAAGGTGATGAACTATGTAGCGCTATACATTAGCTCTGTTGTTTGTCCGGAAATTATGTTAAAAGGGTTCTTAACATTTATTTTTTGAACTTGTGAATAATCAAAGTTCACATTCCATGGCGCAGATAGTCTAGTTGCTTTGAGCCAGTAAACGCCATCCAACCATACCACGTGTTCATCAAAGTACGTCCTTTGGTCCAATGGCAGTCTTGTGGGCATTGCATCAAAAATTCAAGGAGACGCAAACAATTTTTAGCATAATTTTCGGACACCCTGGTGTAATGTACTGAGATTTTTATGAAGACTTGAGTGAAACAATCTCCCCCCCCCTTTTACTTGTTTTTCATAAATCACCTTTAATAATGAGAATCTGTTCTACTGCTGTCTCAGCCAGTTATAAATTGTTTATATCGGAAATTTGTGGACAGCATTGTTTGTCTGTTGTATTGAATTACTGGACAGTTTAGTATGAAATAAATTGTGTGAAAAAAAAACTTAATTATGAACTAGAAGTTCGGTAGTCACCTGTCTTGCACAATATACGCTCTATCACGAAAAACCTAACCAACAATTGAGAACGAATTGTCTGTTATCCAATATGTATCGAATATTTCGTGTTACTTTGAGATACTGGAGATTTGTATCCAGTTTTCCAGTATAGATTTCACTAGCTAAAGGAACTATTGTATAGTTAGTCTGACTTGTCTAGGGCAAAAAAGATTTAAAACATTACCAATCATGTACTTATTTATTTGGTTCAAACTTGATCAATATCGAGCGCTGTCGTTGTAGAGCCGTAAGGTTACAATTTGAAACTATTAGATTTATTTCAAATTTTAATTATTACTAAAAATTGCTACGTTTTTCCGAAATTTAAGTTTAAAATTTTCGCTTAAAACATAAAGGCGCACATCACAAATTTCTTTGCACATTCAAGTAAAGTATCAAAATATACATAAACTCTATTCTGTAGCATCTAGTAGTTCACATACACTATATTCTGTAGCTTCTCGTAGTTCACATACGCTATATTCTGTAGCTTCTCGTAGTTCACATACGCTATAT